AATTTTTTATGATGAAGTCAAGTAGCTTCGAAAGAGATGAGTTTTCAGCTGTCGCTTGAAAATTGTCAGGGATTCAGCATTCCGAATAGGGGTGGGAAGATGATTCCACCAGCTAGGAACGGTGAACGAGAATGTTCTGGAAAGTGATTTTGTGCCTCTGTGATGGTACCACGAGGCGTCGCTCATAGACTTCTCAGACTTCTGGAGGGGATGTAGATTCATAATAGTGAGTGGAAGTAGGCGAGTGCTGAGCTTGTGGCTGTTCTATATGCAAGCATCAATGTCTTGAACTTGATTCGAGCCGCAACCGGTAGCCAGTGCAAGGAGATAAAGAGAGGTGTAACATGGGCTCTTTTGGGCTCGTTGAAGACCAGTCGTGCCACTGCATTCTGAATCATTTGTAGAGGTTTGATTGTGCTTGATGGAAGTCCAACCAGAAGAGCATTGCAGTAGTCCAGCCTAGAAATGACAAGGGCCTGGACAAGAAGTTGTGCAGCATGCTCCGTTAGAAAGGGCCTGATCTTTCTGATGTTGTGTAATGCAGACCTGCAAGATCAAGCAGTCTTTGCAATGTGGTCTTTGAAGGTCAGCTGGTCATCAAAGATTACGCCAAGATTTCTGACCGAAGTTGATGGGGTAACTGTAGAAGAACCTAGCTGGATGGAAAAATCATACTGTACAGTTGGAGTGGCAGGGAAGACAAGAAGCTCAGTCTTTGCCAGGTTGAGCTGTAGGTGATCAGACCAGAGAATCCTGTTTCTCACAGTCTGAGGGTCCTTTAGGTGCTTTTTTGCAAATTCCAAGTGTGTTTTCATGTGTCTTCACTGTGGAGAGGATTGAGTTTGGCCACACCGCCATAAAGCCATGATCGGTGGAGTGTTGCAGTGATGTTTGTCCTTCTGTAGATTTCTCTTATCTCCATATATGATCATAGAGCTCAACTAGAGTGACCATCAGCTTCTTGCTCACCACTCTAACTAAAGCCCTTCTCCATAAGTTGGTCAGTTTGGCCAGGAGGCCAGCTCAAGGAAGAGTCCTGGTTGTTTCAAACTTCTTCCATTAAGGGTAACAGAGACTACATGCTTCAATGAAGCAGAATTTTTTTCTGAACTCTTCCCCAGATGTGTGGCTTGACGCAGACCTATTTCTGAGCTCTACACACAGTATTTTTTTTACCTCAGGGCTTAGTTTTTGCTCTGATATGCATCATCAGCTGTTAAAGCTTTTGTTAAGGCTTGTATGCCTTTCCAAATCATACCCATTCAAATAAATGTGCCACAGGTTAACTTCACTCGAAGTGTAGTAACATCTGCAAGCAATATAAATGCTCCTGAGCTAAATTTCAACTGTCCCAGATAAGGGTATGAATACTTATTCAATGGAATCATTTAAGATGTTAAAAACCTGTTTTTGCTTTACCATTATGGTGTATGGAGTGTAGATTGATGTGGAAAAAAAGTTATATAAAGCAGTTTAACATAAGGCAGCAACATAACAAAAACAAAAAATAAGGGTATGAATACTTTATGAATACTATATATATATTTGAGGTGTAACGGTACACGTATTCGTACCGAAAATTTTCGGTACAGGATCATCCCTTCCTCTTTACTACTAGTTTTACACAAAATAAACTTGAATGAACATCTCATGTAATCACTCAATCAGTGTTCCAATTGCGGAAAGACGTCAATAAAAAAATGTCACTTAGCATTGCATTTACCTCAGGCAAGTCATCAGTGTCTACAGCTCGATATATGCTAGAGAAATGTAGTCTAGAGAAGAGCATTTCGTGAAATATCAGACTATATACTAGGGATGTGCGATATGGGCTTAAAAATATATCACGATATTTCTCTTATTTATTGTCATAACGATATCAATGACGATAATTCGGGGAATCCTGTGTCTTTAGAGAAAAGTATTATCTTTCCTATTTTTACCCAAAATAGGGTGTTGTGAGCATTACCGAGTACACATGTAATGTAATTACTGTTTAATTCATACTGGAAGCCAGAGGGCGCCCTTGTGCAGAAACTCCACATATGCATCGCAGAAGTAATACAACTGACGACACTCCAGGAAATCCCTAATATGGACAAAGGTATCTGCTGCGTCCCAATTCACATTCTATCCGTCCTAAATAGTATTCGAAACTAGAGTTAGTATGTCCCAAATCATAGTATTTTGAAAAGAGTATGCCAAAGATTCCCGGATGGTCTACTACTTGAGTTTAAAATTCGAAGTGCAGATTGACTCTAACGGCTAATATTGCTCACAACACATTGCGCGGCGGACGAGTATTCGATTATAATTACAAACACATAAAACGTGTTTAAAAACTACAAACATGGCGATATGCGAGACCGACGCACAGGCAGAGAAAGGGGTTTGAGTGATAGATAATCAATGTCTAACCTGATTAAAAATATTTATTTAATGTTATGCGCATTATATTTCATCTGTAGAAACATTGTGAACATGTTTAATGATATGTTTGGTCGTTGACTTTTAAATGCATCATTATGCAAGCACATGAGCCGTTCTCAACATGATAGACCCGCGACGATCAACGTGCCTCTTCATTTCTCTCCAATACGGTAGGAAATTAAATTAAACGAAATGTGGATGATGTTAACTGTGATAAGATGATTGACAGTGCAGTTTAAACAGTGACAGAATGCACGTAACTAAGCAACAGAGCAAATGTTAAAGACGCAGTTATGGCGAAGTAGTATGTCCCAAAGCTTGCCTACTATTTTGCTACATACTCAAAAGTATGTACTTTTTCGTCACAAAAACAGTACATACTTTTAGGGCATAGTATAAGTAGGCGAATTGGGGCGAAGCAATCCAGTTATTGCTGAATAAAACGCACAACGGAGATAGAGAAATTTTAACTAATGAAACTTGAAGGCAATAAACATACGATTGCACAAAATATATGATTTATCTGTGTTCAAGCAATCTTGGTTATTTTTTATAAGGAAAGTATATTTATAATGCACTGCTAATCGACATAGCCTTTATCACTGTATATAATACTATCATTCTGTAATATGAAACCATGTCTGGTCACAAAAAGAAGTTATTTCAAACACTCAACTGTTATTAAGTTAATTTGGAGAAAATGCATGTCAATAAATGATATCTTTGTTGGACAACAGGTTTGTAAACAGGCTCATAAACATGCAAAACTGTATCGCACGCATGCTACTGTAGTATATTTATTCAGACCGATTTTTTGTGCACTGTACAGCCCTAACCAAAGCAGTTACAGATTGTAGAAGGAGCTTCTCATTTAGCGATAAACTCCTCCTCAGTTTCACGTTCCACACAGAAATATGTCCACAACTAGACTTTATCGTTATTATTGCGGGAAGACTAATTCTTATCGTGGGGAGAATTTTTACCGGTATATCGCAAAAGATATCGCCCATCCCTACGTTATCTGTTAGTGGTCTTAATTATTTAATGCATGTTTGAATAAATGTGTTATGAAACAATTTATGACAGCCACTGTGTAAATTAATATATTTCAACAACAAATAGGCAGGAATTTTATAATTTAGAAGTTAATTTAAAAACTACATTATGTGCAGTTTATATGTTTGCATATTTTTTTTTTTTTAGTTGAGTGTCGATTATTATATTTAAAAATAAATAGTAATTCAATTTAAGTTTGGACTCTGTTGTTAATTGTAACCTTATAGTAATGTAAATGAGTTTATTGCATAACCTAAGGTAGATTTTTATCCTTTAGAATATTTTAATTGTAATTTAATTCATTTAAAGAGAGCAATTTGTTCAGTAAACCATTGTTTAATAATAATAATTAAAAAAAGCAATTTTATGTATAGTTTTTCCTCCTGCTGTACCGAAACTATACTTAACCGTGACGTCAAATCCGAGGTACGTACCGAACCATAATGTTTGTGTACTGTTACACCCCAAATATATATATATATACATACAGTGGAAAAAAAGTATTTAGTCAGCCACCAATTGTGCAAGTTCTCCCACTTAAAAAGATGAGAGAGGCCTGTAATTTTCATCATAGGTATACCTCAACTATGAGAGACAAAATGAGGAAAAAAAATCCAGAAAATCACATTGTAGGATTTTTAAAGAATTTATTTGCAAATTATGGTGGAAAATAAGTATTTGGTCAATAACAAAATTTCATCTCAATACTTTGTTATATACCCTTTGTTGGCAATGACAGAGGTCAAACGTTTGCTGTAAGTCTTCACAAGGTTTTCACACACAGTTGCTGGTATTTTGGCCCATTCCTCCATCCAGATCTCCTCTAGAGCAGTAATGTTTTGAGGCTGTCGCTGGGCAACACGGATTTTCAACCCCCTCCAAAGATTTTCTATGGGGTTGAGATCGGGAGACTGGCTAGGCCACTCCAGGACCTTGAAATGCTTCTTACGAAGCCACTCCTTCGTTGCCCGGGCAGTGTGTTTGGGATCATTGTCATGCTGAAAGACCCAGCCACGTTTCATCTTCAATGCCCTTGCTGATGGAAGGAGGTTTTCACTCAAAATCTCACAATACATGACTCCATTCATTCTTTCATTTACACGGATCAGTCGTCCTGGTCCCTTTGCAGAAAAACAGCCCCAAAGCATGATGTTTCCACCCCCATGCTTCACAGTAGGTATGGTGTTCTTTGGATGCAACTCAGCATTCTTTCTCCTCCAAACACGACAAGTTGAGTTTTTACCAAAAAGTTATATTTTGGTTTCATCTGACCATATGACATTCTCCCAATCCTCTTCTGGATCATCCAAATGCTCTCTAGCAAACTTCAGACGGGCCTGGACATGTACTGGCTTAAGCAGGGGGACACATCTGGCACTGCAGGATTTGAGTCCCTGGCAGCGCAGTGTGTTACTGATGGTAGCCTTTGTTACTTTGGTCCCAGCTCTCTGCAGGTCATTCACTAGGTCCCCCCGTGTGGTTCTGGGATTTTTGCTCACAGTTCTTGTGATAATTTTGACCCCACGGGGTGAGATCTTGCATGGAGCCCCAGATCGAGGGAGATTATCAGTGGTCTTGTATGTCTTCCATTTTCTAATAATTGCTCCCACAGTTGATTTCTTCACACAAAGCTGCTTACCTATTGCAGATTCAGTCTTCCCAGCCTGGTGCAAGTCTACAATTTTGTTTCTGGTGTCCTTTGACAGCTCTTTGGTCTTGGCCATGGTGGAGTTTGGAGTGTGACAGTTTGAGGTTGTGGACAGGTGTCTTCTATACTGATAACGAGTTCAAACAGATGCCATTAATACAGGTAACCAGTGGAGGACAGAGGAGCCTCTTAAAAAAGAAGTTACAGGTCTGTGAGAGCCAGAAATCTTGCTTGTTTGTAGGTGACCAAATACTTATTTTACAGAGGAATTTACCAATTAATTCTTTAAAAATCCTACAATGTGATTTTCTAGACTTTTTTTCTCATTTTGTCTCTCATAGCTGAGGTATACCTATGATGAAAATTACAGGCCTCTCTCATCTTTTTAAGTGGGAGAACTTGCACAATTGGTGGCTGACTAAATACTTTTTTGCCCCACTGTATATATATATATATATATTTAATTTATTATGTTTATTTTGTAAGGATGGATTAAACCATTAAAAGTAACTTTTTGCTAAGCACAAAGAACACATTAATGTAGTTTTATCTTTTGGGAAGTGTATTGTTCAAAATTAAAAATGCGAATCTGTTGTTTTGTTGTAATAGTGTAATAATTAATAAAATATTAATATAATAATATATTATAAAATGTGTAACAATATAGTTTATATAAATGCACTAAATATATACACTACTGTTCAAAAGTTTGAGGTCAGTACGATATTTTATTAACTAATATTTTATTCAGCGAGGATGCATTAAGTTGATCAAAAGTGACAGTAAAGACATTTATAATGTTACAAAATATTTCGGTTTTAAATAAATGTTGTTCTTTTAAACTTTCTATCAATCAAAGAAACATTTAAGGTGCTGAAAATTCAGCTTTGCCATGACGGGAATAAATAATATTTTAAAATGCACTAAAAAAAAGTGGTTGAATTGTAATAATATTTCACAATATTACCGTTTTTACTGTTTTTTCTTTACTTTTGATCAAATCATTTTTGAAAGAATGCTTGAGTATTCTTACCCCAGATTTTTGTACTTCTAATATAATGTTTCTAATTGTGATTCGTATTGCTTCATTAAGAAGGAATCTCCTGTATTACAGGCATTGAGGGAGCAGTTGAACCACATGAAGAATCTCTTAAGAACGTGCCGTTTGGCTCAAGAGTGAGTGATTTTCCTGCACTTTTTCTTCGAGACCGCACTGAAGAGCACTGCGTCTCAAGTCTCTGTTCTGTTGACAGGGTTCTGGATCAGTTCGACACTCTTCCTGGACATCTGACCGAAGACTTTCACCTGTTCTCTCTCAACGACCTCACGGCTGTCCGCAGCGGCGGTCTGGGGCCAAAGCTGCGAGATCTGCTGCGCCTCGGCTCCAGCCACGTCACGGACTGCGTGGTGAGGAGTTACATAACATTGCGTTTGTTTAGGTCAGTGGTCTCAAACTCAATTCCTGGAGGGCCACGGCTCTGCAGAGTTTAGCTCCAACCAGCTCCAGCTCACACCTGCTTGTGGAAATTCCTAGTGATCACGAAGACCTTGATTATCTGGATCAGGTGTGCTTGATTTGGGTTGGAGCAAAACTGTGCAGAGCTGTGGGCCTCCAGGAATTGAGTTTGAGAACACTGGTTTAGGTGATATTTCATGGTCTAGATTTGCGGTTGATCTAGATCTATCAGGTTTATTTGTTCTTCTCTTGTTGTTCTCCTACAGCTCTGCCAGGCCAAGGGCTTCATTTGTGAGTTCTGTGGAAATGACAAGGACATTATCTTCCCCTACGAGCTCAGCAAGTGCCTGCGCTGTGAAGGTGAGCCTCTTATTGATTGATTGATTAATGCATTTATTTATGCATTTTTTTTTAAATGCATGTAATTATTTCTAAATGCATTTATTATGCATTTATACATTTATTTATAAATTGAAAAGTATTTCGAATTTAGTTTATTTCTGCATTTATTTGTTTATTTATTTCTGCATTCATACATTTATTTCTACATTAGAAATAAATGTATGTTATGCATGTATACATTTATTTATTTATAAATTGAACAGTATTTTCTGTTTATTTTAAATAGTATTTTATACAATTATTTGTTTATGCATTCATGGATTTATTTCTTTTATTTATGGATTTATTTATACCATATATAAAAAAGTAAAGATATGCATTTATTTATACATTTATGTATGAATTTCTGCGTTTCGGCTTTTATTCTGCTTTTGATTTATTTCTGCTTTTATTTCTACATTTATTGTTTTTTCTATATTTCTTTAAGCATTTATTTCAACATTAATTTATGCATTTATGTTAAGTTTATGCATTTATACATTTATTTATAAGTTTGTTATGAATTTATACATGTATTTATTTATAAACTGAAAGGTATTTATTTATTTATACATTTGTTTCTGTGTGCAATTATGCACACATTTATTTATGCATGTTTTTATACAATTATTTGTTTGTGTTTATGGATTTATTTATGATTTTCTTCCTTAATATATAATAATTAGTAATGCTTATATTATTTTTTTGTTATTTATACAATTATTTCTGCATTTATTTATATGCATAAATGAATAAAATGCATAAATAAATGTATGCATACATTTATATTTGTTTATATGCATTTATACATTTCTGTTTTTTTATTTTTATTTGTTCTGCTTTTTATTTATTTCTGCTATTATTTATACATGCATTTATTTATTTATACATTTATTTGTATATGCACTTATTTATACATCAATGCATTTATTTATACATTTATTAAGCTAAACTACAATGTTTCTTTAGGTCTTTTTCCCATGTTATGGTGGTTGGTTGTAATGGTCTGTTTTTTTGTTGTGCAGATTGCCATGCATGCTATCATAAGACCTGCTTTAAGGGAGGGAAGCAGTGTCCCCGCTGTCTGAGACTCGCCGAGAGGAGAGAGCGGATGGCTCGCAAGAACATGGAGGAGCAGGAGGACAGAGAGGAGGACGAGGCCAGCGGGACCTAACACACAATGCCAGTAAGATTTCACCAGAGCACAGCGCAGCAGTGAATGTAGTGACTGATATTCAGCCAAACGTTTCTTGATTCCCGTCCAAAATAAGCTGCTCTAAAAGTCCTGCTGACTGTAGCACAATGGATCATTAATGCTAAAGAGTTTTGTGCAAACAAGACGTTTCTGCTTTTTAAGGACTGCCGCCTTCAGACACAAAATCGTATTGTTTTTTTACTATGTGCCGTGTTTTGTTTGTTTGTTGCCTCTATCCTTAAAAATCCAATTTATTTTTAATCAACAGGCTGTTGAGTCCTGTCGTAAGCTTTTATGTGTAGGGATTTATGTGTAATGTTATTGTCTATCTGCTTTTTGTTGGTTATATTTAAGCGTATAACCTGTTGTATGCCTCTTTGTTTTGCACAATCTGTTTCTCCAGAGGTTTCTAGAAGTGCCAGGTCCAAGCTTACTGTGTTAAAGATCAAAGCTACTGAAACAAAAGGCCTCATTCGTGAAATGTGAGCCAAATTAATTTAATAATTTGTAAATAAATAATATTAATTTAATGCAACAATGTACCTTAAGTAAACTACGAATTTCAAGTAAAACAAATTTTTATGCAAATGTCTGTTAACGATTGAAGCGTAAATCGGCATATTGAACTGAATGCAACCATTTATGTAAGAATTATTTTTTGCACCATTTTGTATTTAGAAATTCTATTTGCTTTTTCGTAAAACCATTTTAGACTGAAATTTGCTCTGGTTATTCCAAAAACAATTTATTCATAATTGCGTAAATACGCATATGCGTAGTATGCATAAATTGTTTTGGTTTTGTGAACATTTTAACCAGAAATATAAATAAAACCAATTTGTAAAACCATTCTTGTGGAAGTTACTACAAAGTTCAAGTTTCACAAATGAGGCCCAATACTGGTCTTTAATTGTAAATTTGAAGGCCTTTTTGCTTTAACATTTTGCACCTACCAAAAAATGGCACTTTGTATGTTTTCTGTCCCTTGTTAGACAAAAAATGTCTTGTTGGTTCTTTAATTTGCACTAGTTTGATGTTTGTTTGAATGAGAATTGTATTAATGTTTGAGCCAGAACATCATTCCAACATCTCACATTCAGTCCAAAATCTTGCACAGTGGCCCATACTCATCCAATGAAGCTACTCATCGAAAAAGAAAGTTGTACCAAAGTGTAAGTTGATTAAAAGAGTTTATTACATTGGAAAGTTGTATTACATCATACATACTGGACCTAAGTTAGTTTGAGTAGTATTTAAAAGAAAATATATTCAATTTGTTTGCTGCTGTGAGTATATCTGAAGCAATAACGACCATGTGCTACTCTGCCACAAGCATTAAATGACTTAAATGCACTGACCTTAATTATATGAGATTGAACGAATGAACAAACTTGCTATTGTGTGGTTGATTATGGGATCTAATATTAAGTTTGTAATGTTTCATTTGATCCTGCTGACGATGTGTCCACTTGAGCTTATTGTTGTAAAATTACTGAGTTGCCTTTTTTTATTCAGGGGCTTTTGATGCACTATTTGAGATGTACATATATAATTTCTTATGTAAATATATGTAACTGACAATTAAAGATGTTTAGACTACTTTTGCCTTTGTTTTGGAGTCATTATTGTGTTGTTGTTGTTACACAAAACTTTTGATGGACTGTTAATCGGTTTTACCGATATTTGTGCATTTTTCCATAATCAGATATCGGTTTTGTAATGTCAGATCCACCGATAAATGGTTCAGTTATGCTTATCGGTTATTGCCACATAAACCTGCAAATAATCGGTATCGGTTACAATAGGGTGACCATACATACTTTTTTTTTTTTTTTTTGAAATTCCCTGGCGGGGGTTTTTAAATTGCCTAAAATGTCCATGTTTTGCCTTTGTTTTCCTATTGTTTTCATACTTGTACAAAGTAATGACTGAAAAGTACATAATTTACCAATGTGGCATGTAAGAAGGCGGAATCTGCAGAGAACAGTCAAAGCAATGTCTTTGGTCCTGACCAGGACAGGAAAAGAGGACATATGTTCACCCTATTATAACCGATATAGATTATTTGCATGTTTATATGTCGATAACCAATATTTGTAAATTAACCATTTAATGGTGGCTCTGACATTCCAAAACCGATATTTAATTATGGAAAAATGTAAAAATCAATATCGGTCAATTTCTACTCACTACATTTCTGCTGTAGTGAATATGAGAAAACAACCAAAAGTATATGTAAACATTCTTTTCTACTAGCCTGTACTCTTTCTACTGGTTCATCCAAATGCACCACATGCATATGATTACAAGCGCGTATCCCGTGATTATCAACAGGTAAATGCGGAAGAGAAGGAAGTCCAGGATGTAGCCCACATGACACCACTGGTTCTGTAGATGGTCTTCTTTTCGTAGAATGGACAAATAAGTGTTCATCTCTCTAAGATCCTGACTGATCTGTCTTAGTTCAGGCACATCCAGTGTCATGGATCCAGACGCTAGGGGACAAAAAGCAAACATTTAGCATCTTAAATAGAGGTGTCCCCTCCTGCTCCTGGAGGACCAACATCCTGCTGAGTTTAGCTTCAACAAGCTCCAATACAATTGCCAGGAAGTTTCAAGTGAATCTGAAGACCTTGATTAGGTGAATCAGGCGTGTTAAATTAGGGTTGGCGCTAAACTCTGCAGGACACCGGCCATCCAGGAACAGGTTTGGACAGCTTTGATTTGAAAGTTAACATCAGGATCTATTGTTAACATCAGGATCTATTCTGGTCTCACCATTAGTGGATGTCTGTTGACTGGACATTGATTGTGAGGGCTGGACGACCCATGGATTGGTTTCTTGTTTCCCTTCTAGCTTGGCTAAAGGGTCTTCAGGGAAACTGTAGCAAATAAGTCGAGCAATGAAGCGCATCACCAGCACCTGAACCCAATGTGGCACCTCCCTGTATTTCATTGAATTGTGGTGGAGGACGCAGGTGATGAGGACTGTCTCCAGCAGACTTATGGTCATGAGTGCCAGACACACAGAGAAATAGATACCTAGGAGGTGAAACCAAATTTTAGAGATAAAACTAAATGAGTGTTTAAAAAGTGTTAACAATACTACATAATCAAATTCTTTATTCTCTCTGAAATACTTGATCCTTATTGGTCAATCATGTCAATTGTACATTGTCCATGGCAACATACCGGTTGTACTGTTATGTCTCTCATATCACTCTACATGTTACATCTTTCTACTGTGTTTTGGTTAACTGTTGGCCTTGGAGGACTTCAGTATAATGGCGCGTTCACATTTGCAAAATTTCATGAGCAAAAAAAGGTCAGTTGCCTATTGTCAGTAGTGTAGAGATGTAAACACCGCTCAGCAATTCAAACCAAGCAGCTTTCTTTTGACCAACATGGCAAATTCGCATTACCAACTGAACCCAGTGCAAAATCTGCGTGGGGAAGTCTTTTGCTCGCAAATGTGTGGTTTCCTACTGAAATGATATCCCGATATTTACATTTTTCCACAATCAGATATCCTGCAGGTTTGCAGTTATAATGTACAAAATGTGCAAATATTAGGAAAAGAAAAATGTGCAAATATCGGTAAAATATTGGTACAACGTTGATCTATTGATCTATCAAAGCTTTTGTTAAGCCATCTATCAAAGGTTTTCTCTTCTTAAACCCAAAGTAGACTTCCACAAATGCTTTAATGCTTTAGGCCAGAAGTTCACACATTGCTTCACACTGGTGTGTTGTGGCTAATTGACCTATTAAAGGCGTTCCATTAGCAGTGCTGGGAAGCAGGTCGTTCATAATGAGAAGAAAGACTGTATATCCCAGGATAAGGGTCATTTTGAAAGAGGATCGATCCACGCTGTGCGGCGGCAAGTAGAAGGACATGATGTCAATGATCATGAGGAAGGAGCTGGGGATGATCAGGTTCACCACATACAGTATCGGCCGTCGCTTTATCACCACCTGCAGGATGGAAACAGTAAGACTCAAACTGACATATTTAGTTTGAAGTGCTGCATGTTTTTTGGAATATGTATTTTGGAATATCACACATTTACATTTACGGAGCTCTGCACGTGACATGCGGTAGTAAAAATATCTTGTTATTCATGGCTAATAAATAAAGAATTCATTTCTAAGACTAATTTGTTTCCTCTTTTTAATTTGGTTAAATTGCGGGCATACTTTAAGGAAACAAATTAGTGAAATGTGGCCACAAACGAATAATTCTCACAATTCTGAGAATAATTAATTATGAGATGAAAAGTTGCAATTACCCTTTTAAATTAATTTATTCCGTAAAACATTTTTTAGAAAAAAAAGTGAAAGTTGCAAGATGTGAACTCATAATTCCAAGAAAAAAAGTCAGAAATATGAGGCAAACTTGCAGTTCTGAGAAAAAAGTACAAATTACGAGTTTAAACTTGCAATTCTGAGACTTCCAAGAAAAAGTAAAAATGATGAGATGTAAACTCAGAATTCAGAGAAAAAAAGTCAGAATTGCGGTATGTAAACTCAGAATTCTACGAAATTCAAAATTCAGAGAAAAAAAGTCCAAATTGTGAGATGTATATTTAGAATTCACAATTCTGAGAATAATTAATTATGAGATGAAAAGTTGCAATTACACTTTTAAATTAATTTATTCCGTAAAACATTTTTTAGAAAAAAAAGTGAAAGTTGCAAGATGTGAATTCATAATTCCAAGAAAAAAAGTCAGAAATATGAGGCAAACTTGCAGTTCTGAGAAAAAAGTACAAATTACGAGTTTAAACTTGCAATTCTGAGACTTCCAAGAAAAAGTAAAAATGATGAGATGTAAACTCAGAATTCAGAGAAAAAAAAAAAAAAAGTTTAGAATTGTGAGATGTAAATTCAGAATTCTGAGAAAAAAAGTCAGAATTGCGGTATGTAAACTCAGAATTCTACGAAATTCAAAATTCAGAGAAAAAAAGTCCAAATTGTGAGATGTATATTTAGAATTAAAAAAAAAAAAAAAAAGTTTAGAATTGAGATGTAAATTCGGAATTCCAAGAAAAAAAGTTTTGAATTGTGACATGTAAACTCAGAATTCAGAGAAAAAAAAGGTCAGAATTATGAGTTAACGGTGGGGTAAGCGACTTTTCAAAAACGCTTAACTGATTTGAGCCGACTACCAAAACAAACTTGTAGCCAATCAGCAGTAAGGGTCTACTCATGATGTGGAGGAGAGAGCGTTCAGTGCACAGGACGGACATTAGCTGAGCTGAGCAACAGAAATGTAGAGATGGCGAATAAAAAAAACAAAAGAGGAAAACGTCTGCGGAACAAAAGAAGGCTTAAGGCAAGCAGTAGGACCTGTGTAAATATCGGATCAGGTTTCCAGCACTGGAGAGAACTCAAGGAGCGGAAGGCCTGCGATCGGACACAGAGGTTGCTTTGTTTCTTCTTGATAGGCCAGTAACACCGTGTCTGTGGTCAGCTAAAGTCTGTCTAGTACACTGGATGCGACAAAGTGACCGTTGAAAATCATTTGAAATTTGTGTCAATACGTCATGAATAGAACGCAGCAGCAGTTTTCTGTCGGGGATTTGTCGTGCCAGTGTAGACCATATATATATATATATACAGTGGGTACGGAAAGTATTCAGACCCCCTTAAATTTTTCACTCTTTGTTATATTGCAGCCATTTGCTAAAATCATTTAAGTTCATTTTTTTTCCTCATTAATGTACACACAGCACCCCATATTGACAGAAAAACACAGAATTGTTGACATTTTTGCAGATTTATTAAAAAAGAAAAACTGAAATATCACATGGTCCTAAGTATTCAGACCCTTTGCTCAGTATTTAGTAGAAGCACCCTTTTGATCGAATACAGCCATGAGTCTTTTTGGGAAAGATGCAACAAGTTTTGCACACCTGGATTTGGGGATCCTCTGCCATTCATCCTTGCAGATCCTCTCCAGTTCTGTCAGGTTGGATGGTAAACATTGGTGGACAGCCATTTTTAGGTCTCTCCAGAGATGCTCAATTGGGTTTAAGTCAGGGCTCTGGCTGGGCCATTCAAGAACAGTCACAGAGTTGTTGTGAAGCCACTCCTTCGTTATTTTAGCTGTGTGCTTAGGGTCATTGTCTTGTTGGAAGATAAACCTTCGGCCCAGTCTGAGGTCCTGAGCACTCTGAAGAAGGTTTTCGTCCAGGATATCCCTGTACTTGGCCACATTCATCTTTCCCTCGATTGCAACCAGTCATCCTGTCCCTGCAGCTGAAAAACACCCCACAGCATGATGCTGCCACCACCATGCTTCACTGTTGGGACAGGTGATGAGCAGTGCCTGGTTTTCTCCACACATACCGCTTAGAATTAAGGCCAAAAAGTTATATCTTGGTCTCATCAGACCAGAGAATCTTATTCAGGTGTTTTTTAGCAAACTCCATGCAGGCTTTCATGTGTCTTGCACTGAGGAGAGGCTTCCGTCGGGCCACTCTGCCATAAAGCCCCGACTGGTGGAGGGCTGCAGTGATGGTTGACTTTCTACAACTTTCTCCCATCTCCCGACTGCATCTCTGGAGCTCAGCCACAGTGATCTTTGGGTTCTTCTTTACCTCTCTCACCAAGGCTCTTCTCCCCCGATAGCTCAGTTTGGCCAGACGGCCAGCTCTAGGAAGGGTTCTGATCGTCCCAAACGTCTTCCATTTAAGGAATGGAGGCCACTGTGCTCTTGGGAACCTTAAGTGCAGCAGAAATTTTTTTGTAACCTTGGCCAGATCTGTGCCTTGCCACAATTCTGTCTCTGAGCTCTTCAGGCAGTTCCTTTGACCTCATAATTCTCATTTGCTCTGACATGCACTGTGAGCAGTAAGGTCTTATATAGACAGGTGTGTGGCTTTCCAAATCAAGTCCAATCAGTATAATCAAACACAGATGGACTCAAATGAAGGTGTAGAACCATCTCAAGGATGATCAGAAGAAATAGACAGCACCTGAGTTAAATATATGAGTGTCACAGCAAAGAGTCTGAATACTTAGGACCATGTGATATCTCAGTTTTTCTTTTTTAATAAATCTGCAAAAAAGTCAACAATTCTGTGTTTTTCTGTCAATATGGGGTGATGTGTGTACATTAATGAGGAAAAAAAAATAACTTAAATGATTTTAGCAAATGGCTACAATATAACAAAGAGTGAAAAATTTAAGGGGGTCTGAATACTTTCCGTACCCACTGTATTTATATATATAACATATTTCTTAAATATTTACATGTGTGTATTTATAAATGCACACACATTATGTAAACACTTTTATTTTGTATGCGATTAATCGT